TATTTTTAACAGAAAATAAGGGAGAGGAAATACTGTATCTTGACACAGTCCATTCCATCTGAAATCTTAATAGTTCTTCCTTTAAAAAAAAAAAAAAAGGCATCTACCTGCAGGAGCTATGGCACTGATCCTGTCTCTTAGAAAAGTTCTTAATTTTTTCAATAATTTGAGGTCAAACGAAATAAATTAAACTCTTAATCTCTATGGTCAATCAGCCTTCAATATTTAAAAAGGCAAAACGTACAGTCACAGGATTTTCTCTCTGATGTTTACATTAAAGATTATAAAGATTTTCAAGTAAAATATTGCTACTGATCTTAAGAAAAATCCATTATGCAGAGGATAATTGATTTTTTATAAAGAAAATTACCATATCTGGTACCATGATAACTTCAGCAAATCTAGTAATTATTGAAATTAATGTTAAAAGTCAGAGTATCGAAACAGACAAGAAAATTATTCTGAATATGTATAAAACCAACCTTACAACCTTAGTCTGATATTTGTCATAACTGATTTTGCATCAGTTTAGATATCAGCTCATTTTCTCAGTCCTCCTATCTGTTCTTTCACCAGGATTCTCCAAATATTTCATCAGACCGGGCCTACCACACTGAGGTTGGAATCATACAAAAGTTTTGAGCCCAAGAAGTGGCCTCAGTACCCAAAGGACATTCCTTTTATTTGTGTCTCACATCTGTCCTCCAGTTAACTTTGACTTTTATTCATTCACTTAAAAATCATTACAAACCCACCATGTTGTAGGCCTTGTGCTAGACACTGGAGATATAATGGAAAATAAGAAAAACATGTCCATGACTGCATGGAGGACAGTCCACTAGGAGAAATGTCCACTGAACAAACAATCTCATAAAAAGTTATATTTATAAATTATCAATGCTATGAAAGAAAAGTATATGACTCAATGAATGTGTAATGGGAGACCTGGAGGCTTGCAAAAAATTCCCTGAGAAAGTGAAACCTGACTCAAGACCTGAGGATGGTGATGAGGAGAGTTCAAGAACGCAAAGGAAACGGGACTTTCTCAATTCCAGACATGTTGGTTTCACCTTTCCTGAACTTTCATTTCCACCTTTGCTGTCTCTTGGCATTTTTCTCCTGAATTTGACAGTATCTAGCAACCAAGTCCGACCCATCCTATCCCTGTATGTTACAACAGCTAATGTTTATTGAGTTCATACTACTTGGAAGATATCATTCTAAGCAATTTATGTATGTGAACTCATCTACTCCTCACAGTGACCATGAAGCAGGACACATTTCCATACTTTACAGATGAAGAATCTGAGGCACAGTCATGATAAGATACATGCCCAAAATTACACAGCTACTGGTAACTAGCCCTTGAATGTCCATTATCTCCCTCATAACTTGTCACTCTTATAGAAACCCCAAGGCACCAAACTAAACTGACACCAGTACTAAGCAAAGAATACCAAGTCTCCTATATCCAGCAACCATCTTCAACTAGGAAGGGTCATGCAATTGACAAAGGTGGCCTACACTAAAATATCTCCAGGGACAAAAATAATTTTTTAGAATAAGAAATATTCTAACAAAAAGCTATTCACCCAGATAATGAAATAATGAAAACTGGGATAGGAGAAAGGGTTATAATTTATTTCATTCTCTCCGTACCACCCAAAGAGGAAGATAAGAAATTTTTTAATTTTCTTTTAATCCAAATTTATAAATTTTTCACAAGTATTTGCCAAATTGAATTAATATATAGTAAACTGGCTATGATGTAGAAGAAATTCCCAAAATTATTTTCTTTTGGTAAGCAACTTTTAAATGATAAAAAAAGAAATAACTATTAAATGACCAAGGCCTCACTGAAAACTACATATAGATATTTTCTTAAAAATTCTTGTTATGATCAGGGCGCCTGGGTGGTTCAGTGGGTTAAGCCGCTGCCTTCAGCTCGGGTCATGATCTCAGGGTCCTGGGATCGAGTCCCACATCGGGCTCTCTGCTCAGCAGGGAGCCTGCTTCCCTCTCTCTCGGCCTGCCTCTCTGTCTACTTGTGATCTCTGTCTCTCAAATAAATAAATAAAATCTTTAAAAAAAAAATCTTGTTATGATCAAAAGTTTCATTTGTAAATTCACCATCGAAGGTGATATGAAAAACAGTAATTAAGTGGGTGATTGATATAAGTGAGTGTATGACTCATAGTTTGCAAAGGAAAATAATTTTGGGGAAAAGGCTCAGGAAGAAAAGAAGCAAATAATGGGTTCTGGAAGAAATCAAGACCTTTCCTGTCCAAGAACTGTCACCAGTTTTTATTACTTGAAGATTAAGGGAATAGTGAATAAAGCTGTCTGCCAGACAGCAGAAAAGGTAAGAAATAACACTGTCTCTAAATGTGCCTCACATGAAAGTTTTCAGAAATAACATTCATAAAATTAAACTTTCTATAAAAAGTTACTAGAAAACCCAACTCAAATCAGACCAGTGGAAATGTCAAAATAAACCAATATTACATTTGTCAGGAACTTGAACAAAATGAAACTTCAGGATAGGTCAAGTTGTAGAATCGTCTAATTTTATTCCACTGGGTTTTAGAACAAGGCAGATCCAATACTGATTTATAGGACATTTTGTAGGGTTGGTTTGTTTTTGTTTAGCTCTTTTTCTACTTCAAGGTTAGTGTAAAATAATATTTAGTTTTTGCTACTAGGATTCAGCAAATCTGTATGAGCTTTAGTTTCTGCCTCCAGAAGTCAAATTCAAGCCACTGAATTCAGTTCCACTTTTTTACTAATTGAACCTCCCTCTCATATATATCTCAATTACATCATATATATATTTACATGTACTTTTTTTTTTACACTCACATTTATGTATGGGCATTAAGTGCTACCCATGCATTATTAATCTTCACAGAAAATGAAGAGAATTTCATTTTGATTAAGTCATATTCAACAAGAATTTTTATGCAATTTAGTATTTTATTTACATTTTTGTGTATATTTTAGAGTCCCTACTATATGACTGCATTGAGCTGTTTATGTGTATAAAACACATACATGTTTTATACATATAGATGTTTTATACACGTAACCTAACTTAAGAATACTGGGGTTACCTTGTTATATATATACTGCCTACAGATAAGGTAAAAGAATATTTTTGTGAGGAAGCAACCTAAGTCATATCATAATGGCTTTCATATGAGCAACATCCAGCATATATTTTATGCATATAGCTTAGAACTTAGTTCATGAAAACTGTCTGACCCAACATAAGGAATTCTCAAGAAAAAATTAAAAGCTGTATGTGTGTATGTATGCGCATGCATGTGTGTTAGATGACCAATTCAAACCTAGGCAGTCCAATTATAAAATCTTTGCTCTTAACTCCTAAGCCACTGTATCCTGGAAAAGAAGGTGTGACTTTTAGAATGAAAGTAACTGATCTAGGTAATAACAGTACTTCTAAAATAAGGAAGCGTATTTCTGAAGTCAGTACACTAACTATCAGCATTAAGTTATAAAAACACATTTGATGAATATTTACTATGACAATGATTTTTTTTCTTTTTGTAAATGTGCTTAATTACCAGAAAGTTTCTAGCTTTGTCTTTCTGGATATTATATCACCTAACATTTCTGTATCCCCTTACAGAGTTTAAAGCATTTCTGTATCTAAAACTTTATATAATCCCACCATCAACACTATAAATAAGGCAAGTATGATGGTTAATTGGATATGTCAACTTTGCTGGGCCCCAGTGCCCAGATATTCCATCAAATATTATTGTAGATGTTTCTGTGAAGTTTTGTTTTTTTTTTTTAAGATGAGATTAAAATTTGAATTGCATACTGACTAAAGCAGATTACCCTCCATAATGTAGGTGGGCCCCATCCACTTAGTGAAAAGCCTTAACAGAACTAAGACAGACCTCCTTGGAACAAGAAGGAACTCTGCCAGCAGACTGCTTTTGGCTTCAAACTTCAATTCTTACTTGGTCTCCAGCCTGCCAGCCTACTGTGCACATTTTGGATTTACCAACTCTCTTTGAAATTCAATTCCTCAAAATCAATCGTTCAATCTCTGCTCCTCCACACAGGTGGGGATGTGTGTGTGTGTGTGTACACACTTAAGTATATACACATACACATACACACACACACACACACACACACACACACACACACACATGCTGTTGGTTCTGGAGAACTCTGAATCAAAGAGCAAGGTAGTTGAAAAGTCTAACAACAAGAACAGGAATTCAGATCCTTACTTTTGTCTCATTCCTGAAAAGATACCAAAATTATTAAAAATCTATGCTAGAACTCAGTTTTCATACCCAAACCACTCAACCCATGTCATGTTCTTTTAAAACTATTATTTGACAAAACTAATCAATTCTGGAAAACATTATGGCAAATCCTCAAAAAGCTAAGCAAGCATAGTTACCATATGACCCAGCAATTTTACTCCTAGGTATATGCCCAAGAGAAGTTAAAACATATGTCCACACAAAAATGTGTATATGAATGTTCATTACAGCATTATTCACAGTAGCCAAAAAGCGGAAACACAAATGCCATCAGATGAAAAGGATGAAGCATATCCATAAACACAATGGTTCAGGGAAAAAAAGAAATGAAGTACACATGCTACAACTTAGATGAATCTTGAAAACATGCTAAATAATACAAAGTGAATGCAAAATGCCACATATAATATGAATCCATTTATAGGAAATGTCCAGATTAGGCAACTCCATACAGACAAGAAAAAGATTAATAGTTATCAGGGGCAAGGGAAAGGGTTCAATGCAGAGTGAATACTAATGGATATAGGATTCCCTACTGGAGTGATGAAATGCTCTTGAATTAGATGGTGATGACTGTACAACCTCATGAAAATACTAAAAACCACTTAACTGTACACTTTAAAATTATAAGTACTAAGAAAAGTGAATATCTCAATTTTTAAAATGTTAAAAAAATAACACTAATCAACTTACCTGGCCTTTTTGTGGTGCCAAACAACGAACAACTTCATCCACCATTACTGGAATATGTAATTTAGCTATAGCTTCGAAATCTCTATCTTGAGATCTGTGTTTCTCCTGAGTTCCAGTTTGATCTGTTTGTTCCTGGGCTTCATATTCATTATTTCTTTGTGCTGTATCATGTATTTTTTTTGGCCAGACACCTAAATTAAATATGCCAGATTCCAACCAGCATGAAAGAAATTCTTTAGAGATTCTACAAAAATATGGGTACCGAAGCATTCTGTAGGTCAACAAATCTAGAAAAAAAATTAAAAATATCGTGATTGTTGGATTTTTAAAATACATAGTTTTATATAACTTTTTAATATGGCCTGATAAGCTCTAAGACCATTAACGTTTTAATGACCAGGGAGGCAAAAATTGATTATTAAGTCATCATTTTTCTTAAATATACTTTTCTAACTTTAAACAATGGATTCAGTGCATTAGAACTACTTATTTGAAAAAGCTATCTGGAGGGGGCTGGAGGATGGGATAACACAGTGATGGTCACTAAGGAGGGCATGTGATGTAATGAGCAGTGGCTGTTATATACAACTGATGAATCAATGAACTCTACCTCTGAAACTAATAATACACTATATGTTAATTAATTGAATTTAAGTTTAAAAAAAGCTGTCTGGATGATTGAAGGGATTACGAATATGATCCTATTTCAGGTTCAGGTGGTCTTTTATTTTAAACTCATCTATTTGTTTTTCTCATAATGTTAAAGCTTCATCTTCATTTTAACTTTGTTTTAAAAATTGTCCCTGGAAAAAGATATGCATGTTTATCCAAAAAGAAATGAAGGTAAAAATCAGTTTGTGAAAAGCTTGCTGACTTGTCATAAATATTCTCTGACGAGATTATTTCACCATGGCCTCTATCAGTGAAGCATGTTCCAATTTCAATTATAACTTATAAATACTCAACTGAGCATACTTTGGCATGCTTTGTGTGTTCCCTGCCCACCACAAAACAAGCAAATAAATAATTAATACATTCCTTAACTTTCTCAGTTGTGTTCCTTTTGATTCTGCAATCTGCAACTCTTACAAATTCAAAGGGAAAAGTATTTATGAAATACATTAACAGAAAACCTTTTGGAAACACTATGCTTTTTATATATTAGGTTGTAAGCAACGTTTTTAATACCACTACAGTAAATACCAAGTTAACATTCTTCTTTCTTCCTTATAGATTATTATTAGTTATTTAAGAATAAGACCCATATCTTTATATCCACAAAAGCAGATGCACACTAGGTGATTCATAAGTGTTTTCTGAAAAAAAAAAATGGATGGATGGGTAAACTCTAGATTCTACAGAATTAATATTTTTATCAAAACTTACTTTAGGAAATTTCACCTGCCTGACCGACTGTACCAAAAACCACATTCTCAAAATGCTTCAAGAAACATAAATACTTCCCCCACCAAAAAAAGAAACATAAAATATCTTACTTAAATATACCTTCCCTTCCTTTTGCAATAGAAATGAAAAATAATGTTGGAAAGTTGATCACATGTAATGACTAGAAAAGAAATACATTTATATTATATAAATATAATACCACAAAATGTTACCTTAAGGAAATGCCAACTTTACCTACAACATAATCCACAGAATGATGTGGCAAATGTGACACAGGAAAAATATAGGGGAGAAAAAGGACTGCAAATAGGTGTTTGAAGTAATATTTTGGATGTTCACTGGTGAGAAATTAGCCAAATTATTAATTCTGCCTCGTGTTTTTCAGAAAGCTTATACAAAGTAAATCCAACTACCCTCTAACCTAGTGTTTCTAACATTTTTCAAAATAAAAATTTTTCAAAATAAAAAATTGACATTTACTGGGCACTTACTAAATACTACTAAACTCATTCGATCCTTACCACAACTTTTAGAGGTAAATAGTATTACTATTTCTATTTTACAGATGAGGAAAACAAAGAAGTAATTTGCCAAAAGATCATATATCTAGAAAGCCATAAGCCTAGAACTGTAACTCCAGCATTCTGTCCCCAGAGCCTGAAATCTTATCTTACTCTCTATGCTACAAACATAGACCACTGGCTCTATTGTATCCATGTAATTGAATGGTAGTTTAATTACATTGACTATATATTTGTACTATCTCATGAATTAGATTATTTTTCTGTAAAGAGCCAATATCCTAATGCTTGGTCCTACTCCATTTGGAAATACAGCATAACAGGTGACATGCAGTGTATAGTCCTAACTAGTGCAATCTGGAATATTTAAGAAATCTACACTGTATGTCCAGATATAAATATGTGAATCAATTCCAATACAGGAATCAAAACCACATAGGAAAAAGCAAGTAGGACAAACTGGAGGAGGGGTGTTTCATTTAATTTAACTCTTTTGCATTCAATTTCTATGTATTTACTCACCTGTGTTCCATTACAAAGCCTAAAGATTTTATTATGCACTAACTGGCTACTAACATGAGTCAACATGGAGAAAGGACAATAATTTTCCTCTTTGGCTGTTTTCCTGATTACCTCCCTAAGAATGGAAAGAAGCAAGCTCTAAATTAGGGAGTTCCATCTCTTTAGGTAGTCCCATCTTCTACCAGATAACTGAGAGCACTCCTGCAGTCAGCTCTGAACCAAGCACCCTTGATGATTTAAGACAGTTTAAGTTTCCTCTGGTCACAGGAAGGAAGCTGAGTCGGGAAACCAGACCGCTAGAGCCAACTCGGTGGTTTCCCTATGTAAATCATTTAACTTTGCCAGCAAGGTTCAGTTTAAGCCGTTGAATCGAGGGAACTGGCCAGGTTACCCTTTTCATTGTGGGACCAGGAAGGTGAGTGAGCGATACCTTTGAAAGCAACTTGCTCAAGGGTGCTACCAATTACCACCATTGCACTCACTTAGCCTTCCCTCTGGCGAAAACCATTTGAAAATTTAATTCCTAAGGCCAAAAACCCAGCCTGGAGGCTGGGAGCCGAAGGCATAGAAAGTGAAAGAGGTTTTAAAGTTAAGGAAGAATGCATCCTTTTGCCTAACAATTATACTCGGAAGAGGAAAAACTGTTTACAAACTTCTGAACTCAGAACGAATGAGTGTTCAGGAGAGGAAGCGGGAGCGGGGGCGTGTTTTCTTTGTCCAGGGCGAATCCAGCGACCTCTGAAGTTCCCCCAAAGGCATGGGGTGGGCTCCAAAGGAGCTCCCGGGACTCGACCACCTTCTCCTCACCTGAGGCACGAAGAATTCGCAGTTGATTTCTAATTCGGGCCAGCGACGACCACTATGGTGCCAGAGAACATGAATTTGCCGCACGTCTGGGTCCCAACCTTGGGGGAAACTTGAAAGGACGGACAGATCGGGCCCGCGTCCGCCCCAGCAACAGAAAACCGTCTGCCTTTCGTTCCGCTGTTTGCAGGACCCAGCTAACGAAGAGGGTTGCAGGCGTTGGGGTTTTCAAACAGTGCTCCTGGAGGGGGTCAGGAATAAGACCCTACCACTGCCAGGTTTAAATTTACTTTTACTTTTTTTTTTCTTTAATGTCTGAAGCAAGTTTAAATCTAACTTTCCATTTTATCATTTCCACTTTATTTGGTTTATTACGAACTTGTGTTAATTTCTGTCTTCTATTATAAGACAGCATTAGTTGTACTCCACTTTCGAACAAAAGGTGGGAATTTCTGTCTCCTTTAGCACTTCATGTTTTTAAGATTTGGGTTCTTTTTCCTTCATTTCATTCCAAAATACATCAGTCTCTTATACTTTCTGCTATACTCCTCTTTTGCCAAACTAAACAGAAGCCAGTTGGCACCGTGATGGCATTGATTGTAACATTAAAGTTTCTTTGCTTTACCTATACAATTCTTTAAGAATATGGTCTTTTTCATCATATGAACTTAAAGTTAAATGTAAAATAAGCACTTAGATTAAGTGTGGAAACACCTGTTAGCAAGCCATACAACGTGTGGGTATCAAAAAAATGATATCTAAAACACTTCTTATTCACCAATAATCAATGCAATTTTACAAGAAATTCGTTTATTAAAATGCCTATTTTCAGAATAGATTAAGAAAGCATCTGAATATCACTTAATTTAGAAAGTATTTCTGAGACACACACCTTAATTCTGAATTGGCTGGTTTGTACAGTTAATAATAAATAATTTACTTTAGGGATTTTCTGAAAACTTCAGTTTTTTTCTTCAGTGAAATAAATTGTGCCTACACCTCATGGACTGTTTTGATAATTAAATTATAAATTTATAACTTTATAAACTTTATAAATTAAATAAACTTTATAAATTAAATTTTATAAATTTATAAATTAAACTTTATAAATTAAATAAACGTTATAAATTAAACATTTATAAAGTTAAACAAATGCCTGGGACACCAATGGTAAAGTACTATAGAGTAAATGCATATTTGAAATAAAATAAAAAGTCTTCTCAATTTTATTACCAAACTCAGCACCACACAAATAACTATTGCATTAGCTAAGATATATGTAATATAGCCAGCAATTAGTATCTTTATTGATGCTCTATCCAGAGTTCATACATGCATCGTATATAATACACACTGCTTCTGATCTTCTTCAGGAGGAAATAGATGTCGACATTATGGAGGTTTTCATACATTTTTTCACTTATAATACTCTGCAATGCGTTGTGCCATCCTATTTATTATGGTAATAAGCTCCATATGAGAGTATAAAATCCAAGAGGGCAGGGATTTTTACTTATGCTATTATGTCCCTAAAGTCTACAATCAGTAATTGCTGATGGATACAATAATGTTAATATAAAGAACAATGACATACAGATCGTACTATTAAAAATATCCTGACGAATAAAGATGGCTTAGCAAACGTATTTCCCTTTTTTTTTCTGGTATTTTTTTCTTATTAAAGTGTACATTTTGAAATCATATCTACAATCTAAGGCAAAAAACTACTGCATCCAGTAATGAACTAGGCCAATAAATTTAAATAAATTTATTCTGTAAAGTCATCATTAGAAATGTAAAAACAGCCAAACGCCAAATAGCTTCATAGTCAGCAATAAAGGGAGTAGGCCTGGGAGTCCTGAGAGATGAAGACTGGGGCCTCAAAACAAAGCCCTGGACTTTCAGTTAATTGAGGCGAAATGACCCTAGTTTGATCCAGTGAAAGTGGCTAAAAGGAACAGGTCCCTCACCTTCCAGAGCATAGGACCCGCGCCTTGGACGCTTCACTACTCAAAATAAAGAAAAGGAGAATATAAAAATATAAACATTCAGAACCCATTAACCCACAGCCAACAGGCTCCACCTCTCCCGCAAGCCAACCCCTGCCCACTCCCGTCTCACTCACACCCTGAACCCTGGGAGCGGGCCTTGTACCCGCGGGTCTGGAGGTGGCCTGAAGATCCCAGGTGGCTACCTCCCACCTGCAGCTGCGGTCTAGCTCCGCCCACCTCGGCCAACGCCTCCGGAAACAGACGTGCGCGTTGCCTTGGTGACGCGCCACAAGGCCGCTTCCAGGGAGCTGCGCGGCTGAGACTCCTGACGCCAAGCAGTAGCGCGCCACGGCAACGTCCGACGTGATGGCGTCACGAAATCGGTAGCCAATGAAAGGAAGAGCTGAAAAAGCTGGCTTGGGTTTGAATCTTGTGGCTGAGTTTGAATCGTGGAGTGGCGGACATCGTAGAGAAGTGTTGCGGTAATCTTTGCTGGAGCTGAGGTGAGTGAGAAGCACGCGAGGCGAAACCTCTCTTTTCGTAACGCTTCTTTTGATGACCCATCTCGCTGGAAGCGGAAGGCTACTCTGCCTGAGGAGTAGAAGACGGGATGCGCTTGTTGACAAACGCGGAAGGGTTGAGTGGTGGGGGGTGGGGGTGACGGTAGTTAGGGTCCCTGGGGAGAAAGTGAAAGGACGAAGGAACTGGAGAACCCGCTGGAGATAGCTCTGCCTCATCAGGCTCCCTTGACTGCTCATCAGGAAGGACAGAAATCTCCTGCCTTAAATTCTGAGAAAGTCGGAAGTTTTAAAAGGCATCCTGGCTCCTTTCCCAGACTGGCAGAGCACTTTAACTGCCCTGCGCCTTACAATGTAAAGTTCACTCCGCACTTCTGATTCAGAGTGTTTTGTTTCAGATACAGATGTAAATGTAACTCAAGGCTTAACTATCAAAAAGGAGTTTTGGTCCAACTTAAAAACTTTTTGTCCTGCAAGGTTCTTCTGTGAGCCTGGCAAAGATCCGTCGGGAGCCTCCTCTGAGCCCCAGATGTAGAATCAAGACAAGACTTGCCAGCACTGCCTAGCGGAATTGCCAAGACTCAAACGAGGTATCGAAGCGATACTGCTTGGCAAAGTGCTTTGCAAATGAAAGGGACTCTTGAACACTGAGAATAAGTCCTTCTACTGTCTTTTCTTAGTTTCTGCAAGACTCTTTTAGGAGCTCATTAGGCACTCAGTTACAGAGAGATCAAGGCCAACTGCTGTTTACGAAAAGAGGTTATTTGACCAGAATTGAATAATTTTGTTATATAATACATAGTTGAGGTTATTTACTATTAATTATCGAGTAGAATGTATTAAGCATTCTACAGGTTTTAGTTGGTAGTTATTCCACTACCTTCAGGCTTCTGGCCTTGGATTCTGGAAAGTGTTGTGAACTTTGGTGCTAGGGAGTATAAGAACCATAGACTAGATACTGCTTGTTATCTGTTTCAGTAAACAAAGATTATCTTGCCTTTAACAGCAGTAAATTAATCTCTTCTGTTACTGAACAAGTATTTGAAAAACACAAAATTTTCACTTTAAAAGTGGGTCTTGTCAAAGTGTATTGATACCCTGAATCGATTAAGGTAGACAACAAAATCACTTTTATGCTGTCAACTCTGTGAAATCTAGGAGGAAAAAATAGCCCAGATGTTAGTGCCACTCTTCACTCCATTTGAAATTTCTTTCTTCCCTGATGTTTTTAATGTAGTAAAAGGACTGGCTCTAACACTGAAGTTAATTCCAAAGAGAGGTGTTAAGTTGTATAGAGACTATAAATGATAGTATGTGGAGGATAGTTCCTGTTCCTAAAAAGTGTTTGTTAAACCTCAATCTAATTCAGATTTAAGTTTGATTTTAAGAAATAACTTAGAACTGTATGACTCCACTTTCAAAATAATTTTTGCAGCATTTCTGTTCCTTTGAAAATATTCTGTTCTTATTCCAGTAGAGCATTTTTGTTGGGCTTTGGATTTAGACCTGAGTCTACATTCTGGCTCCTCGCTTACTAGCTGTGTCATCTTGGAAAAATTATTTATCCTTAACTAAGTTTGTGTTTTTGTAAAGTGGAGACTATTATAAAATATGCCTTATATGGTTGTTTTAAGGATTGAATGAGATGATGAATGTTAAATGTTTACCATAATGTTTGGCATACAGAGCAAGCTCAAATGATAATCATTGTTGTTCATTAGTAGTAGTTATCACCTTATTGACCTAATTTAAGACTTCTCAATAGTGTATATGCTGAGAATAGATAACTGTTTGATATCCCACAAGCAGAGAGAAATCATACTTTCAATTTTATTTCAACATTCATTCAACAGCTCCTCTGCTGGGCCCTGAGGTTTCTATCAAAAATAGGCAAATATGTGTTTTTAACTTCTGTGAGAAAATTTCTGGACACTAATATTTACAACTGAAAGAGTAGTCATTTAAATACTTGAGATTTACATCCGGTTAGTCTAAGTTTAAATCCCATGTCTTATGCTTCCAATAGTGTGACTTTAGCCAATCAATATAATCTAATTACAGTTATTCCTCTGTTAAATAGAAGTGATTATAAATACCTGTATCATAGGATTGTTATGGGGATTAAATAAATATGTAAATTGTTTAGCAATTTCTATATCTATACTAAGCATGCAATAGAAAGTATTCCATAAATACATTTTAAATGAAAGATTTTGCTTACAGTAAATTTTAATAGTTTTTGTTTTGTTTTGTTTTTGAAGTGAAAATAATTAGTCTTGTTTAAAATCCAAATGATACAAAAAGATATACAGTATAAAATAAGCCTGCCTGTCACCCATACTTCCATTTTTCCCCCACCGTGGAACAACTGATTCTATCAGTTTCCTGTGTTCTTTTCCTAAAAGAGCCCGTACATATACAAATATGTATGTCTTTTAAAAATTCAGAGGATTGTATGCCAAGTCTTCTATTTGGCACTTATTTTGCACATTTATCTTGAAAATCTGCATTAGTTCATTCATTCAGTTATTGAACAATTATGTACTGAGTCCTAAATATTGAACAAGCCCTGTTCAGGGTTCTGGGGTACAGATGTAGTCCATATTCTCATAGTGTTTATATTCTGGAGGGGAAACAAACAATAAATATATAACTAAGTGATACATATTTTCCAGTTAGTTTAGATGCTAAGAAGAAAAATAAAGCTGGTAAAGGATGGAAAAGGAAAGAGCAGGGTGACACTATTTTGAATGGAATCTTTGGGGAAATCCTGTGTGAAGTGATATTTGAACAAGGACATGA